AAAAAAAAAAAAAAAAAAAAAAAAAAGAACCTTGGCTCAAAAATTAGCTTTATTAACTCTGCCTGGATTAGGGTTACCAGCGAGGCCCACAGCAGGGAGAAAGTGTCATTGTTCTAGTCACACTTTCATGTCTCAAGTCTACTTGAGGAGCAAAAGACTCATTTCAATTTCCTTCCCTTCCATTCACTTTTAAACCGACTCACTTTTGCCCTCACCAAGCCAATGATTCTGGTCAAGGTCACCAGTGGTCTCCAAGTTGCTAAATCCAATGGGTGTCTCCGTCCTCCTCTTACTTGACTAACAGCAGCTCTTAATGCCTTTGATCCCTTACTCCCAGGGAACTATGCACTCTGGGTTTTCTTATCTCACAGGTAACGGCTTCCTCACCTCCTCAGCCTCTAACCACTGTGTTGTGCCAGGCTCAACCCTGGAAACCCTTCCTCTATCTACACTTAATTCCCTGATGAGCTCATCCAGATTCCTGGCTTTAAATACTATTAATGCACTGACAGCTTCCAAATTTAGATCTTCAGCCCAGATTTGAACTCAGAACTGACCTCCAGCCTCACCTCCAACTACTGACCTTCCCCCCAACTTGCACATCCCACTGTTTTCCCCTTGTCAACGAGGGCCACTTTGCCCATCAGTTGCTCAGGCCAAACATCTTGAAGCTCCTGTTGCACAATTTTCTACCTTTTGCTTGAAAAACATAACGTTGTTACCTAGCAGCTAAACTTCTGAAATTATACATTGGAAAATGCACATAACTAAAATACGTTAAAAATGAAAATTTAAAGACAGAATCACAGACACGGAGAACAGATTAACGGTTGCCAGGGGCAGAAATGGGACGAGGAAAGAGGTGACTATGGCTATAAAAGGGCAGCACGAGAGAGCCTCGCTGATGGATGCTCCATATCTCACTGTGGTCACACGAATCGACACCTGTGATTAAACAGCGCAGAACTAAATACACACACAAACAAGTGCACGGGAAGCCAGTAAAATGGGAGTAAGCTCTGTGGGCTGCCCCAACACCGTCCCTCCAATGGAAGAGATGAGGGGTAGGGCCCACAGGACCCCTCTGTCATTTTTTGAAACTCCTGCAAATTTATGATCATCTTAAGTTTTTTAAATGAATGCTGGTAATACCTAAAAACCTTTACTCCTCAGAGTTATTCATGCTGGTAAGTTACAGCACACTTACCCTTCTCACAAAAGCCAAACCATTCTGCAGGTTTGAGATCAATGAAATTTTGTGACTGTTATTGATTTAAAAATATTATCCTTTCAAGTGCCAGGAATCCCGTGGGCACAGGATAAAGTGAACATAAAGTTACAAACAGCAAGATAATAAAGCTGTTCAATGACTGCCCAATGCATAACTCTGCTTACTAAAGACATACTGCTTTCCAGATACTTCAGCATGATACACTCCCCCAAAGATGCTAAGTCCCTCAAGGGACAGCTATTGATAGCACGGAGCTAGAGAGGTCAGCATCCAAAGTACACAGGAATCACTAACGTAGCCAGACTTCAGATTTGAGGACAGACAGCCTTAGAAAGGAAGAGAGGGGATGCAGAAAGGAGGCAAAGTCAGGGCAAAAGCAGTTTTCCAGCAGAGTCTGTGGCATAATTAAATCTCAAAAGTCCTCCCCGATCAGGGTTCCTTACTGTGAGTCAGTTACCAATTTGGCATAAAGATCTAAGCAAACAGGTTTTCTCCAAGGGCACACATATAGTTCATGGTGCCAATTCCACATAACTGGCCCAATTTCACTAAAATCCCATAGTGCCTACATTAAAAGAGAATGAGAGAGACAGAGCAGGACAGAGAGGGAGCCCCTCTAAAATAAAGTCATAAAGCAGCAGGACAGACCATTCAACAGAAGGACTTCTTCCGTTTCAAAAACAAAATCACCATGAGAAACAAATGAAAATGCTACTTATTTTTATTACTTTGTGGCTTTATTTTAATGCTTGAAAAAAGAAAAGCCAATTCTACAAATTACTGGCCATTCATGGTCATCTTCCTGCAACAGCTCTATGAAAAAAATTCTGGCTTCCCAAATCAGAGCCACCTTAGGAGTGCCATTTAAAATATTTTCTCTTCTTATACATGTGCTCTAAAAATGAGGTTGAAAAAAACAAAAACGAAGAACAGTCACAAATCCAAGTGGCCAAATAGGGAAGAATTCTGGTGGACAACTGGACTACTGTGTTGCAAATTAAACTGTTCACACCTGCAGCATAATCTCACCAGCATAACCAATCTACCCTGAAATGCAGCCCCATTGTACCAAAAAGGGGATCTCTTCTTCCACTAACTAGATTCTATCTTTCACTGATAAACTCTTTGGATGAGAAAACCAGCAGCAGATGTGAAAGCCACATGGCCCTCTACAAAGCAGGAGAGCAAAAAGCAATGTTAAAAGAAAAGATTCCTTAAACAGCAGCTCCCTATCGAGAATGGAGATTTTATCGTCTGACGCTGACTTTGTGGAGAGCAGCTAGCTATCAGACCCTATTCCAAGACTCCAGCTCACAGTATCAGGCTCACATCCAGGAGTTGGACTCACTCAGCTACACCCTTGTTTTCAACTCTTGGGAACAGGGCCAATGTGTAAAGTTAGAATATAACAAACAGTTTGCAAGGGGAAAGAGGGAGACAATGTGGGTACTCTTACTTAATGTAATCGATAGGCTCTGAGCATGCTTTACACTTCGGTACATTTTCATTTAGTGAATTTCAGCCTCTGGATAATTTCTTCCATAATTTCCCAAAGATTTCCACACTCTGCATCAAAAAAAGACTTGCCAACACCCCCGCTGGAGTAATGCTGTGGCAGTCAAGAATACTGATGACTTTTTCAATTCCCTATTTAAGTAGAAAAGTACAGAGCGGGGCAAAGTGTTTAGTTTAAGTATGTAAAACACAAGAGTTTACTCTTGTATTATTTATTATTGTATTATTTTCCATATGAACTATAAACCTACTTTTGCCCTGCCCTATAATTTTGATTAAGCAAAACGATTCATAAAGAAGTAGCATAAAAGCAGAAACTCTCCAAATTGTCCTGTTTTATGCGTGATTTTGTTGAACTGTGTAGAAAGAGCAAGCTCTGGAGTCTAAATGTGGCTACAGTTTTCACCCCTCTCAAACTGCTTCATATTTTTAACTTCACATTCTTGGTGGAACATTGGAGTTTAGTGTATGGTTCTCCTACCACTCAATTTTACCGAACCCTTTCTCTTGAAGGTATAGACTCTTGCGTAAAATCCACTATAGAATCCAGGGGTGGGAAATGGTAACCACTAAGCAAATTACTTCTTTGACAGTTATAGACAATGGATATTCCAAGTCTTCTGGGGAAAAGAGCTGTCAATGAAAAGCCAATGGTCAGCAATCATGTTCACATTTAACTTACGAAAAAATATATTCTCTTCATCAAAAAGAAGAGATTCATTTTAATGGCTTAACCCCTTGCCTCTCAAAACATGCCAAAGCCACACTGGCATCACCTGGTTAGGAATACAGACTACCAGGCCCCACCCTGGACTCCTGAACCCCAATTTGCATTTTATCAAGGTCCCCTGTGATTCATGTGCACAATAAGGTTTGGCCCAGATGGTATCTCCCACCACTCCACTCCACTCCATGAATGTATGCCCCAGAGTAAGCATGAGATGGGTGACACTGACCTGCAATTCCCCAGGTGGGTCTCAGGTGTTAGTGCCTCGCACCTCACCGAGTGGGATTCTGGTGTTTAAAGAGGAATTTGGACTATATGCCTAAAACATGACTTCACTGTTTTGTCCCCAGGTTGACCCTCAGCTCCCAACCAAACGACTGGCTTGATTGAACCAAGGGCTCGTACCTTTGCATTAAAAACGGTGAGGACATTAAGAGCTCAGGCTAGCTCAATAAAGACCACGCACAGAGGTGTCAGCCTTGAGCGCACAGCCACAGGTCAGCCATAACTCAGACTGCAGGGAGAACAGAGCTCTTGAGCAGATGGTCACAAAAAGATAAACACCAAGTGACGATGTGGAACACAATTCTTTAAGTTCAAGGTTGCTTTCCTTCAAGTAAAGCTGCCACCCAATTCATTAATTCTTTAAAGCTGGCCATTCTGTTAAGCACATTTCTGTTACAAAGGAGCTACCTATACTTTAAGCACATATGTAGGTAGATCCTGAACTTCCGTTCATGACTGCTTACCTGCGCACACCTTCCCAGGTCTTTCCTGTCCAGGTACTGAAATATATTAATGGCCAATTCATAAGGCAGTTGGATATCAAAGAAGGGCACATCGTCCATTTCATTCTGAGGGGAAAGAGAAAGGAAATAAGCTTACAACTCTGAGATTTGAAAATGCTCATATTTGCAGGCCCTTTAAATTACCAGAGGTATTCTTAGGTGGTAATGAGAGAGGTGATGGTGTTTCCCAGTGGGAGCCAAGCGTTCTCACTATTCAGCATAGCACAGTCATGGAACTAACTCAGCACCTGACAACCATTCTCAATTCTCTGACCCCCGCAGGTCCACCCTCACATTCACATATGAAATCCACAAGACCATTTCCCATATGCTTCAAAAGGAGCAGCAGGTTCCTTCTTACAAGCTGGCGTATGCCACAGGTATCTGCGCATAGGCTTGTGGAAAGCATCTTGGACTCCAAGGAAAGGTGAGCAGCAGGTGGCCAAGAGAGTGAGCCTTGAAACCAGGCCGGCCATTGGTCCTCTTAGGACAACTGCTACCACCTCCCTCCCCAAACCTGGAGGGGAGTACCCCACAGCTGCGGGAGAAACGCTGACCTAGGTCATTCAAGTGTTTTCATCAGGAAAAGGAGAATAGGGCCATGAACATAAGCAAAAAGTTAAATAAATGAAATGCTCTTGAGTGATGTGAACACCAGCCCGCCTGGGCCGCGGGAGAAGCGTGAGGCTTCCTAATGCACTCAGGGGCTCACACTGGCTAACCTACACGAGCCAGTGCAAACAAAGCAGTTCTTCGGTGTCATTCATTAATGCAGAGAAATTAGAGCTCGCCTGCCTCTGGATAAGCAATTAGGGATGAGGTAACAGGCTTTATTTGAGAGATAAGGCTGTCATGACGATCCTGGGAGCACAAAGAAATATGAGTGTGAAACAGAAAAGAAAACCAAGTGTGCAAGCGTACCCCTCTGCCTGTTCGCAAGTCCACCTGCCAGAGCTCACTGCGGTGTTTGCTTCTGCAAAGGCCGGCAAAGCAGAGCTCTCTGTCCCAACAGTGCTTGCTTCATAGAACTCATCTTTAATAAGCTTTGGCTGACATCAGTGACTTACTGGTTGCAAACAAATTACTAATTCATTGCTCAAATACAACAGTCGTTTATTGCAAGGCTGAAGTCTCAAAAGTGAAATAGTCTCAGCATTTTTAAGGGAGTGTGAGCACCAATTTAAACCCTACCAAGATTCAAGGTAAAGATTTTTCTGGAATCGTGTTTTCCATTCGTCTAGGAGTTTCAGAGCTAAAAGATAATCCAGGGCATGAGAAGGAAATGTATTCAACTATAAAAACAGTGCAAGGCTAAGTGTGAGGCCAAAAAGGATCTCTAGAGGGAAAGAGAGAAAGAGTTGACAGTTCTCTGTGGGCAAAGAAGGAACAGAATGTTAAATCAAGAGAGAAACGTTGGGTATGG